TATTCACTAGTTCATGTCTAGCCCATCCATTTAACTTAATGAACATCAAGATAACCTTAGGCATAAGTAATAACACAATATAAATACCTCCTACAGCAAATTCAAGTCAAAATCCAAGTTATATTCAGTTTACAACAACCCTCAATAGCAATACAACACCATAGAAGTGACTTAAGCTAACCCAAGTATTATCTTGTAGTTTATCATCCTAACAACTTAACCAACATACAAGAAAGATTAANGATATCAGGATCCAGTTGGAGTTAGAGTAACCCAACAATTGTGGATAGGTTGTAATCATTAACTAACGTTTCCGAAAGATGGTGCAAATGCAGTAATAGATCTCCTTCTAAGACACCCAGATGGTGAACTCTAGAGTAGTACAATCAGATACGAATACTGGAATATTCAAAAAATGTCAGAAGATAGGCAGTGGGATCCTAGAAGGGACAAATATTTACCTTAGTATGACTCTAGCCCCGAGTAAAAAAAAGAATGATAGGCATTTCCAAGAGCCAGTGAGATGAAGCTAGGGGAGCTTATAGGGAAATAACTTTTTGTTGAAGTTTTCAGAATAAAGTGATAGACAAAAAAAATATTATCCGGAGAATAAGAAGAAAATAAATGAAGCATCATGAGTAAGATGTGATATATGAGTGATAACAGTAAATCAAAATATGACACAATGACCAGAGCAATCTATCAATACATAATTATCAATATCAAGACACCATACAACAAGTCACAACTGCATTACGACGAGCGGCAAGCTCCGATTGGAATCCGTATACCTCTTATCAATCCTTATAGACTTCTTACTTCAACATAAAAGTATCATTAACATGATAATGAAGTCATTAATTAATGATTCCAGCCTTATACCATATATTTATAACAACGAAAATAATCCACAACTTCAACTATCCTCAATTAGCAACTTTATTCACTAGTTCANCGAACGGTTTAATGATTTAGAAACTAGACTTGTAGATATTCAATTTGGTAGGTAGAATACCCCATGATTACAAGTATATTTGGAGATATTAGCAGATACATTTGACCTAAATTTCAGCAAATTTATGAATATAACTTGTGATGACCTTTGCCAACTCTTGTTCCACAACTTGTTTGCCTTCAAAATGTAGAAAATGATTATCATACGACTAAAATAACTCATAGAATAACCTCTTTATCATATTAATAACCCTAGTCTCACCCCAAAGTACATGTTATAATATTCCAAACTTGTCGACTTTTGACGAAACTTATTTTCTTCAATTGGTTTAGCTTCTAAGATTTCCAACCCTCTTGGTACTCGTTATTCATGATCTTAAATATTTGTAACCTCCAAGGTAACATGATTAACTTACTTTATTTGCTTCCAAATATAATCTCATTTCCGAGCTTACATCAATGACTTACGACGTACTCTCACGTATGAAAACTTGGGGTGTAACANTTCATGATCTTAAATATTTGTAACCTCCAAGGTAACATGATTAACTTACTTTATTTTCTTCCAAATATAATCTCATTTCCGAGTTTACATCAATGACTTACGACGTACTCTCACATATAAAAACTTGGGGTGTAACAACTGAGTTAGATTCATTATGTGATTTTATTTATTATAGACTGTTAGCATTTTAATTATATTGTCATATTTCATACTGCTTTACCTTGTTTTTCATCTATAATCAGTAGGGCCTAGACCTTCCTCGTCAGTACTCGATCGAGGTTAGACTTGACACTTACTGAGTACCGCTGTAGTGTACTCATGCCCTTTCCTGCACATGTTTTTCGTGTGCAAATCCAGGTTCTTCGGCTCAGCCATACTTCTAGTGAGGCGAGACGTTCTTCAGAGACTTAGAGGTATATCTACCACGTCCGCAGATCGAGGAGTCTCTCTCTATTCTCTCTTTTAGCTATAGCCCTTATGTACTTTCCTTTGATTAGACATTCTGGAGTTGGAACAATATATAGTATCCATAGCTTGTGATTTCATGAGATTTCGGATTTTGGGAGTTGATTCAGTTTAAGAGTGTATATTTTTGTATGCCGAGCGGCATCTTAAACATTTTATTTATGTTTTATCCGCAGTTTTTGGCTAGTTTTATCTTTCGTTTCTTTTTCCGCAAATTGTTACGCTTACCTAGTCGTAGAGACTAGGTGCCGTCACGACAGTTCACAGAGGGAGAACTTGGGTCGTGACATTAGCTTTCGCATTTTACTTTTGATTTCTGTAATTATTTCAGTTCTTCTCTTTATTTAATTTATACTGTTAAAAATAGATAAACTGTTTTAATGTTGGCTTTTCTAACAAGTGAAATGTTAGGCGCCATCACGGTCCCGACGGTGGGAATTTCAGGTCGTGACAAGTTGATATCAGAGCTCTAGGTTGCATAGGTCTCACGAGTCACGAGAAGACTTGGTAGAGTCTGGAGGATCGGTACAGAGAAGTCTGTACTTATCTTCTAGAGGCTACGAAGTTAGGAACAATTTTACCTCTATTCTTCTCTGTCGTGCGATTTTATTCTATCATTTCTGGCTGAACCCTTCTATTATGTTCTCTTGCAGTTGGCGAGAATACATACCGCATCTTCAGCTGGACAACAGCCGGAGCCCCCAGTAGCAGCTTCTACGAGGGGCAGAGGTCGAGGCCGAGGTCGCACCAGATCGAGGCCGAGGCAGAGCTCAACCCAGAGCTCGAGCAGCAGCACCAGCGGTGGAGCCTCAGGTGGAGTTTGATGAGGAGGTTCCAGCCCAGACTGTGTCTGCCAGACCAGCTTAAGTCCCGGAGGGGTTCATCACCACCCCAGTGCTTCAGGACGCTTTGGCCCGTTTGGTAGGCCTTAAGGAAAATAAACATTTTGATATACACAAAGAAGGGAAATAAATTTGTGATACACATATTGGTATACACATTATTTGATGTGTTATACACTGTGATATACAAATAATAAAATTATTATTGTTGTGATATGCATTGATATCGGGCAACATATTTATAATTCCATAGTTTAGATATACAAAAAAAAAGGAAAATAAAATTTTAATATATATTTTGATATACACGTAGAGGAAAAACAAATTTATGATATACACTTCGATATACACATTATTATTATGATATATATTTATTGTTATCTGGTGCTAATATCTATAACTAGAGTGTTTTTTTTTGTTTTTTTTTTGTATGCTAATTATATGAGTATGTTGTTACAGACTGCCAAAATCCCTTTATGCTATTGTCTTATGCATATTTGAGTGCCAGAATGAAAATGGAAAAGAGAATTTGTCGAGATAGACGGAGCTGTTTGTTTATAAAACATTTTCTCTTGGGAAATTTTAAATTAAATAATTGCCATAACTCATAAGTAGGAGTTGATGTATTCACGTATGCAACGTACAATTATGAGAGACACGCTATATATGATATTACATATATGTGTAATATGGAAGTAATATGTCCTCAAGGTATAATTATATCAAAGACCATATGCAATGTACAATACTATTACAGATAGGTATTGTATATACAGTTATATGTACTAAAGTATAATTATATGAAAGACCATAAATGCTACTACATTACTTTAAGACCTATAGCTCTTATGGAAAACTTATCTCCTCTTCTTCATCATCATCCATAGATAAAAAGACTTCATCCAAAGCTGAGAGCTCAACTTCATCATCACAATTTCTATAGAGCCAATTTATCCCTTGAGATTGATTGTTCGATTCATGTACTCTACATAAAACCCATTCCTGAAAATGAAAAGAAAAAATATAGATTGGAAAAAAAAAACTGAGATGCAAACTACAATTTTTTTCTTGACTCGAAAGCTAAGTTAGCAGCTGGAGCATGAAGTACTCCTTTTGGTCATGTAATTTGACTTTAAAAGGTCAAAATTCATGAATTCCACGAGAGGCGGTTAAATAACATGCTATATACATAGAAATTTTCATCTTTTCCATTTACTATAAATCTTTTTATATTGATTTAGAGGTTAATTAATATTATAGACTGGTTAAATTCACCATTGAGCTAAGGGAAAATTTTAAATTCTACATTAAATTTTTGAAAACTTAAGTAATTTCTTGTTATTCAATGTTTGATATAAAATTCAATTCATTATAGGGTTCATTTATACGATTGACAGTGTAAATAATTTTTTAAACTATCAGATTATGTAGGAGCTAATTAACTTGGGGCGTAACCTTAAAAAGCTGATTAATGACATATTAAATTAAACTACAAAAAACTTTTTAATACAGACATTATATATGTAACTTAAAGTTTAATTTATAAAATTTAAAACATTAAATTAAATCCTATTAGAAAGGATGGAAGGGGTATTTACTTACCGTTTCATTTTCGTTTTTGCTAGGCTTCTTGAAGGAATTACTGCTAGCGAGGTGGAATTCTTCCATAATCCAATTAGTTTGTACTTCATCAATATTATAGTACCCAAAGTACTTTTTTATTCCTACCATTTTTTCTCCAAAATTTTCGAGTATAATTGGCTCATTCATATGTCCTTCCTTCCAATATCCTTTTCTTGTAGCTCGATTTTCGTTTACTTGGCTGAAGAAATACCATTGGTTTTTGCTCCACAAAGCTTTCTCTAATCATCCCAACATATGCAAATTAAATAGGTAAAATAAAAGAAATTATTAATTCAGAAGGATGGGAGGAAAAACAAAAGAACAAAAAGGTTTATAACCCCTCCATTCTAATTTGATCCATTAGGAAAGTGGGGTGATTCAATTTTTCAAGGGTCACTTTAATGATTTTTATAATGATTTGGAATTGTACAAGTTTTGTCTAATAAAATAGAACTTGGAACTCTATAAATTATACAAAAAATAGTTCGAGCAGAAATTTTCCAATGAAAAAGTGTTAGAGAAAAGTTTGTTAATAGGCCTTCTACAAATACGGTTCATTTTTTGAGGAAAAAACGAGAAAAATCAAAGATTGATCTTATTATAGAATTGACACAAAAATTTAATAATTTATAGGATATACTAAAGCAATAAATCAATTAAAAGTAGCTTCTCAAGTTCCAAATGACTTTAAAGGGCCTCATATAAATACACTTCACTCAATTTGGAGATAAATGAAACGAGAAAAAGGAAAGATCGATCTTATTTTCTAAATATAGCAAAGAAATGTAAGATTTTAGAATACTATAACAATAAAATCAATTAAAAATAGGTCGTCTCAAGCTCCAAAAATTAATGATCTTTTCTTCATGGGAGACGAGTCTAATTAAAAGTAAGCTAGATATAAAGAAGTGAAGTAAATTATGATGGAGAAATATATTCAAATATACCATTGAGTTGAGAAGGATCAGAAGAAGAAAAATCAAGATGAGGAATATTGATGCTGGGGTAGAACGGTAAGCCAGCAACTTTACTTTTGAGATAATACATAATAAGCTCTTCATCTGTTGGATCGAAACAAAAACCTGGCGGAAGACCAACTCTTTCATCCTCCATTATCACTACAAAATATTTTCTGAAAGCGAATTGTTAAGGAAATTTAAAGCTTGTTTTGGCTAGCTCTAAGGTTCCTTTTAGGGTTAGTTTAATTTAGGAGTCGATAAAGAAGAAGAATGATACGAGTTGACGAATGTTGATGTTTCTTTTTATAGAAAAAATTATCTACTTTAGTAAAATGGCCCTCCACTATACTTCTATTCCTTGCTTGAAGTAAATTTAAAATAGACGCAACGGTTCAGAATTTGAACTCTAAGGATTTAATATTTAAGGTTCATAATATTGAACCTATTATATTATAAACTTATAGGTTCATATATATTATTTATTATAATTTTAGTAATTTTTTATATGTAAAATTATGTTTTGCGTCAAAAGTACCAGATTCAAATGAACCCGGAATCATTATATTTGATCTGCTTCTGTTTATTCCGAACCTTATTTATGAGTTAATATATATATATATATACCGGTTTTAAATTCTAAATTCGCTGCACCTCATTAGACCGGGAGGTAGTGGCGGTTGATTAGAAATGAAGAGTTTGCAAGTGATGTAACAAGTTTTATAAGTGGTCAAAGGCTGCTGCTAATTGGAGTAGTATACAGTATGAAATATGAGGCAGAGCCGACCCTTATGAATGTGAGTACGTTAATCTATTTGCTTTACATTGATGCTACATATAATGTAAGAGAAATAATTAGTCGTGAAGTTAGTGATAAATATTATTTTTATGTTCTTTCAGAAATTCATATATCAGTACAAAAGAGCTTTTAATGCATTTTATTTTTATTTATTTATTTAAATATTGGTTTAGATGAACTTAAATGAAACGACATAAATTTTTTTTAGAAAATTCTCAGAGAAACTCGCAGTTGCTATTCTTTGGATATACACAGGGTAACTTGTTCACTGTGCGATAGCTCGTACACTACACAGGATAACTTGCTCACTGTGCGATGGCTCGTAGACCACACATGAGATGTAATTAGTCGCACTAGACAAGCCCAGTGCTACGAGCTTTGACTGAGAAGGCTACTGGTGAGGGAAATCGATCATAACTCTTCCATGTGGAGAACATCTCACCCAACTAACTCAGCCAATCATTGCGGGCATTCAGACGACAAAATTAGTCAGTAAAAATTTATATAATCCACAACCCACATTAAGAGGGGGTGGTAAGGGTTTAGGGTACGTGTTGATTAGAAATGAAAAGTTGGGAGTGGATAACGTTTCTTGAGAGTTCACAGGCGGTGGTAATCCAAGAGAGACAAGTACTGATTGAATTGTTTTTACAGGAAATGGATATGTTTTCACTTTGAAGTAACTTCATTTACAAACATCTGTGTTTTTGTCGTTTAATTATCTTTAAAATACTAAAAAAGCAGTTCTATTTGGATAAGCAATATCGAAGCTTACTTAGTGGAATTAATAAACTGAGTGGATGATCATGATGATGAACTGTGAAACAAAAGTAGTAGTTTGATTTTACGTGTGCAAACACAAATATGCACACGTAAAATGTTGTTGAAAAGGACCACATTGAAAAAAGGCAATCAAAGCATGAAGTTGAGTATGATAAGCTCTCTTCTTTTTTCTTCTCTTTGTTTCCTTTGATAGTTCTCGAGTCATTGTAAGTAAACATCAATCATCATGAAAACAGAAAAAAATAGTAACGAAGAGTACCAAAATCAGATGACCAAACCCCATATGGTATAACTGTGAATAGAATTCGGGTTGAAGCGGTTTTATCTGAGTTTTCTTTAAATCTGAGATCATGCTAGTTAATTAGATAATATATAACTAGATAGGCTTTTAATTAGCCTAGCAATTTTCAAAAGGAGGGGGTGTGCATATATATAGTTTGGGCTAAGATCAGCCTAAAGACACTCTTAATAGGGAGAAATCCAAAAATAGTCAGATTTACAATTGGTCGTTCAAAAATAGCTCAGTTTCAAAAGTAATTGAAACTTAGTCACTTTTCATGTAAAGATAAATTTGACCGAAAACACTATTCAAAACCCGGAAAATACGCCAGTATATTATACTGGAGTTCCAGCATAAGTATGCTTGATCTCCAGCATAATATACTGGAGTTCCAGGAAAAATATGCTGGAACTCCAGCATATTATGCTGGAGTTCCAGCATAAGTACACTAGAACTCCAACATAATATACTGGATTTCCAGCAAGTATAATTGTCTAGTATAATATACTGGAGTTTGGAGCATCGGTGCTCCAGTCTCCCGTATATTATACTGGAGTCAGCAATGCTGGAACTCCAGCATAATTCCAGCATAAGTACACTAGAACTCCAGCATAATATACTGGAGTTCCAGCAAGTATAATTGTCTAGTATAATATACTGGAGTTTGGAGCATTGGTGCTCCAGTCTCCAGTATATTATACTGGAGTCAGCAAAGTATACCAGTCCAGCATAATATGCTGGAGTTCATACACAGGTGCACCGAACTCCAGTATATTATGCTGGACCGGTCTCTGTTGCAGCAAAATAGTGGCTATTTTTCATTGACTTCATAAACGCTGGCTATTTGTGAATGACCAGTCCGAAAACTGGCTATACCGTGCTATTTTTACCTCTTAACATAGTATGTCACTGTGATAATGTTCACTATAGACCAAGCCCTAAGTTTTTTCCAAAAACCTAATCACACTATTAAGAGTATCTTACACCTTAAATGTAACATATTTTTCTTATCATCGTAAACTTTGTTCGTAAACTCAACAATCTCTTCCTCGAACTAAGTTTTATATTGTCCACATCACCAGGCCTCTCGAAATAAGTTCTTCATATCCCATTACCAAGATTCATGGGCTTATCTAGAGATTAATCGTGTGCCACAATATCCGAGTGTGTATAGTCACCAAAGTCCACAAGTCGGCTTCTTCTGTGTGTGTGTGTGTGCATTGTTTAGCTCTCGGTGAAGGCAGTAAAACCAAGCCCCATGTTATACTGTCATCTCCATACTCATCTCATCGAACTATTAGCTCTAATAGTAATTGTTGGGTTAACCCATAAATACTCTTAACGTGGTGTGATATTATTCGTTGTGGGTCGATTCCGCATAGCTTTTCTGAAAGGACCTCACAATATTAAAAATATTTTACACCTTACATATAGCTTTTTTTCTTATTAACTATTAAAGTGGGACTCGCACACCTAACACATACAATGTGAAAATTAGAGAGAGAAATTTTACATTTGGAGGAAACTTGTAAGTTGTATATCCAAAATCTTATCTGTGTTCGTTACAAACCAGCTCATATAGCTGTGTACCAGTATAACTTCCTTAACTAACAAGTGGAATCCTTGTTAACTAATAATGTGTGAAATGAAGGGTATAAGTACAAATACAATGTGAAAACTAATATGTTGTACAGCTGGATCCTACTAAGCACCGAATGGTTCTCTAACATACTTGAGATACAAAGCCTAGCGTCCGGTTAATTCAACCTGGATTCGGTATCTCTGAAGCTTCACCGCCAACAGCAAAACCTAGTGTCCGGTTAATGCAATCGGGATCTGTTACCTCTGTCACACCCCCTTTCTATCCCAAAAAAGATATCATGTTGAATTGTGGATTAAAGAGTTCTTTCAATTAAAGTAACAAAACTTGAGTAAGGATTATTTTATTGTTCAGAGTCGCTACTTGGAATTGATTATTGGGTGTTCCAAGTCACCTTTTGTTTGAATCCCTAATCAAAGGAAAGTTTGACTCTATCATTATTGGTCTGCAAAAATAAAGTCCGGGTAAAAAATTCTGTTGACCGGGGAGAAGGTGCAAGGCATTCCCCGAGTCCCGTGGTTCTAGCACGGTCGCTTTATTGACTTAAAACTTGGCTTGAATTAATTTTGGACAAACTGTGATTTATATAATTTTCATGTTTTACCTATCCGCTTTTATTTCTTGATTATTAGAATTATTAAAAAAAAGGATTTGGATAAATTACGTGGTCATAACCACGCTACGCAAGCGAACGCGTGATCGAATAACAAAATTAATCAACTTATCATAATTGCACCTCGCAAGCGAATCCAAAATAATGACAATCAACTATTTGTAGTACTCCTGAAAAATTACTACATTTGAGAAAATTAATTCTTGAATATTATTAAAAAGGTTAACTATAGCGTCACGCAAGCGAATCCGCGATTTTAGCAAAGGATTGATTAAATTAAAAATTAACTAAAACTAAATGGATATGACATGAGATTATTAAATTAATTTATTAAGTGTTAAACATCACGATACGCAAGCGAGTCCGTGAATTAAAAAGTTAAAGCGCGCCTACTAATTACCTAACATTTAAAATAATTATTAAGGTGACTAAGTTACATAGCTATTAAAAGAAAATATGATTTATTAGAACTAATTGATGAGATACTTATATTAAAAAAATTGGGCCTGCTTTGATTATTGGATTTATAATGGCTTTGGGCCAGTTTAAAAGGAAACAGGCCAAATATAATCATAAAGAACCAAGCAAAATGAGTCATGCTTTTAATAAAGAATCCAATTTAAAATAAAACAAATAAATTAATACAATAAAATAGGGGTTTTGACACAGTTACCCACAAAAAACAAAACTATTTACCTTTGTCTACCCATTTATTTTCCTACCCATAAACTAATTATATTTCCTACCCATAGTAGGTTTAGTGGGGAATTTTTTCTTTATTCTCCAACTCTTTTTTATTTCTATGCTTCTTTTCTTTTCTTTTTTCTTTTTTTTTTCTTTTCTTCTTTTCTTTTTTCTCGTTTTCTTCTTATTTTTTTCTTTTTTCCTTTTTTTCCTTTTCTAATTGCATTTAATTTCTTTTTCTTATATTCTTTTTCTCTTCATAATCTAATTTTATTTACTGTTTTCACTATTTTTTTTATATATTATTACTAAAGAAAAATCAAATTGTGTACCAATTAAATGTAGCTAATACAATTAAAAAAATATTAACTAACATATGATACCAGTATAGTATACATGTATACCAACAGAGCATATGATTGCTCTAGAATATTGCTACAACTACCTGCAACTATACTACTGTACCAAAACATTAAAGGACGCAATAAA